GAAAACCAAACATATCCAGCTGGACTGTCATTTCATAAGAGAGAAGCTGTCACAAGGCATCATTTCATTGCATCATGTTTCAACAAAAGATCAGCTTGCAGACATACTCACCAAACCAGTTGGAGGAGCTCAATTTCAACACCTCATCTCCAAGTTGAACATGAAAAACATCCATGTTCAACTTGCGGGGGGGTAATAGATTCTATATTTCCTTGTTAAGTAAATAGTCCCTTATTTGTAACTAGCAACTTAGTCTATTTCATTATTTGTAAACAGCACTTTCAGCTGTAATTGCATAGCACTTTACCTTTACTCACTTTACCAAATATTGTAACCCTAGGTATATAAGGACCCTTAGAGTCCCATGTACAGAACACTATTCACTTTCAATATTCACGCAGTTTTTCTTTCTTCACTGTTCTCTCTCTCTATGCTCTGTGTTCTAAGTTCAATATATTGATTGTTATCTATCTCCTATCGGTCTCAAAATGAACAACTAACTCCCATAAGTTCCTAAGATTCTAGTTCCCTCGCAAGATTCTATCAACCTCTCGGTCTGTTTAGTCTCTTACGTTATGAATTTTTCAATTCTAGCAACCAACTATCTCCTCTCGGTCTCAAGTCAATCACAAATATGCAAAAATACGGGCCCTATATTCACACAATTCATATAAGCACAAGAAACTGATAAACGAAAGGTAAACCGGAATGAATAAATAAAATCACTTCATAAAATAATCCAGTACTCGCAAATCCTAGAATCTCAAAGAGGTTTAGCTACTAATCATATTCTCAAAACTCAAAATAAACAAATCCATGAGTTCAATGAAGAAGAAAAAGAGAAAAGAAAGAACTATTGTCGCCGTTAGTCAGAGCCGGTCCTAGCCTTTCTTAGGCCCTGGGCCAAATGTAACAAAAATGCTCCTCTTTTTTTGTTTTTAAAAAAAAAAATCTCTCCTTTTCATTTCATACGATGAAATTTATGATATTTCAACAATTACTTTGTTTATCCCATACATTGAGTAACTTTGGATGATTAATAAAAATAATTGCCCCTCATTCCTGTTTATTCCAATGCAACAAGCTAAATAAATAAGTTACAAGAAAATTTATATGAACCTAAAACATAAGCATAAACACTATTATTTACAAAATTATATAATTATGTGAAAGTTGAATATTACATTTATATACATCCTTATAATTTCGTGGAGAAAATTAACTCTCCTTTGTTTTAATGTAATTTTATTTAATAACAACTCATATTATTTTACAGTTTGTTACTTAATTAAATGATTTTTTATTTAGTGAGTTGTAATTTTTTTAGAATAAATAGATTATAATTTATAATACATAATCTATAAAGATACACAAAAATAAAAAATAATCTAATAAGAATAGATATAAAGATGGGTTGGTAGGTTCTCATCTATTTTATAAAGTTTTTGTTCATTTTAATTGTTAGGCATTTAATTTTTTTGTTGCAATTAATGTTTGTGGAAAACCAGATATTAATTTAAATGTCTTGGGATTCTTTGTAAATAGGCCCATCATGTATTGGGCCGGACACAATCATCACAATATCAAATTCATTACTTATTATTATTATTTGTATTGTTAATTGGGCAAATAAAGGCCCCAAGAATTGTGCCCCATTCGAATTGGGCTCTGGCCTGGGCCCTGGGCCGTCGCCCAGGTCGCCCTGGGCCAGGGCCGGCCCTGCCGTTAGTTCCCGAATCTTCAATCTTGACTTCCTCGAATCTATCGTGTGTTTCGTGCTTTCTCTAAGCCTCCAATGGTGCCCAAAAGTCCCAAAATCGTGTTCTCCATGTTCCTTATATACTGTAGGGCAAATATGGGTCGAAAAAGGGATAAATCGCGTAGGAATCCTATTTTCTGCCCGTCAGTCTGCGCGTCACACTACTCGTGTCACATGCCACACGAGTCGTGTGACTTTCCTCGAATTTTCGGCCAACTCCCAGACTCACACGACCCGTGTAAGGTCACACGACCCGTGTGAGGTCACACGACCCGTGTCCCGTGTCACTAAGCCACACGACCAATGTGAAAATGCCGTAGCGAAACGTTGATTTTTTTCTCACTCACACGACTCGTGTCACTTCCCACACGAGTCGTGTGTCCTTTTCAGCACCTGGTTTTCGTCGTTTTTCGTCCGGACTCCATTTTTTAAGCTTTTTCGGGCATATTCCTGTAAAACTAATGACAAAAGAACACCTCTATCATAGATTAATAAATATAGCATAATGGTGCACAATTCCTACAATAGACACGA